TGCTTGATTTGCGGGACCAGCGTTGCAGTCGGGAAGAAAAGCAATGTGGCACCTCCCCGCTGATTTTCCTGAGTTTTACTGTGTGTGTGTTGCAACTTGCATATATATTTATTGCACTTGACGCACACATACACATGGCGTAATTTCCTTAAAAAAAACCGTTTAAAAGGGGAGTGATTAGTCAAATATGCATAAATGAAAAGATAGAATGCTAACTAAGTAACATAAGATAAGAATAAACAAGTTGAAATGATTTGTTATTGGTTGTGATCATATCCTAAAGATGTTTGGATTATTGAAAAGTATACAACTCCCTTTCATATGAGTGTTGAGAGCTGTATCCATCAATTCATTTTGTGCTCCAGATTGATGCATTTCACTTCAACATTTAAAAAAAAATTCCCCTGGAGGATGTGAGGTCCCCCCCCCCAAAATAAAGCAGGTTAAAATAATTAAATTGCATACATGTTATTTTAGTAAACACTGAAAAAGGGTCCCACAGACCCAAACAGCACACACAGGTTAAAGGTCAGCATATAATAATGTTAAAATGTGCTAAATATATGCACTGCAAAAAACAAAAAAAAGAGGAGTAAAAGTAGCCCCCGACTTGTTTTATTTTTTGAAAGTAGCTCTCATCCTAAAAAAGGTTGGTGACCCCTGCTGTATAGTATGTGTATTCACTCTCTGTCCTAAACGTTTCTTGTCTAATTTCATATATATATTGTAATTTACTTCCCAACTCTAATTTCCACGATGTCCTCTTCACCCTCAGGCATGGAGAGCTTCACCAGTGCAGATCAGAGGAGAGCTCCCAGAAGGCCGAGCCTCTCCTCCTCAGAAAGAGGACATCCAGACCACCAGGGGACTAAAAGAGCGTCTCTGCCCAGCTGGGGTGCTTCGTCAGTGGGCTGCAGCTTTGGGGACGGCCATAGAGCTCTGACTGAATTCAACAGGAGCAGCAAGGAGGCCGCGAGGAGGAACTCATCGGGAATTCTCGGAAAGGTGAGCACCAGGGTTGGGTGTTGTCTTGTATTTAGAGTACAAGACAGTATTTTACAGTGACACAGTAATATTTTACTTTTTCCAATGACATGTACTCAACCAAGTAAATTACTTCCTGTCAGTAGTGATTAATGGCACTTCTCTGTCGACTACACCCTTCAAAACTGGCATTTCCCTCCTCAGCTGCTTCATGTGCACTTCTGGATAAACGATTGAATGACAGTGTGTCTTTCACATTTGAATACTTTTCCAAACTTTGCAAAACTTCCTGCACTTGATATCTGGTTAATTTTTTATGTATTTATCCTGTGCTCCTCAGAAATTGCAATAAAACGTGCACACAACATATAGTGCCAATGTGAGGTAAATCAACAATATTTAGAGTTAATATAACGTGCAGGAAGCCGTGGGACTCTTCCAAAGTTCAACCTCCATCTAAAGGGCACAGAATCTGTGGGCTTCGTGGTATATTTGTTAGGTCACACAGAAGTGCATGGGAAAGAGAGCTGAGAAGGGAAAGGTGAGATGCAATTTCCAATTTTAGAGGCGTGACGCAAAGGTTATTCAACGAGCATCACAATAAATTACTGCTGTCAAAGAGTTACAATGATATAATATAACTCTTTGAATGAGTTAAGGCTGTTTTTTTGGAACAAACCAAAAGGCTGGGTAGGTTCAGGCTGACAGGGAAATGCAAGTAAAAAAACAAGGTGACTCACAGAAGGTTTCTCCCTTCTGATGCATGCAAATCAAGTTCGATCCTTCTTTGAAATGAGCCGCACCCTGCCAGAAAGTTTGAAAATCCCATAGATTACAGAACATACCAATAACTCCCTGACTCCCTTACAGGCAGGTATTAAGCATCATCTGTAAATCAGTCATCATGTCAGATATACCATATGCTGTATAGGTGTGTGTTTGCATACTGCTGTGCTAACACACTGCTGGCTGGTCGTATTAGCGGCGAGACGCCCGCATTCATTTCATTTCAATGAGACGCCCGAGGTTACCCCTGTCTTTGACTCATTGTGAGGGAATGTCAAAAAACACATAACTCCAAACCAAACAGTATAAAGATCATCTCCAGCCATAACCCTACACACACACCCATGCACACATCTACTCTCACTCTCTCACTCTCACTCTCACTCACTCACTCACTCACTCACTCACTCACTCACACACACACACACACACACACACACACACACACACACACACACACACACACACACACACACACACACACACACACACACACACACACACACACACACACACACACACATAACCAGCACAACAGATAAATAATCATCCATGCCCTCTGGTGACGAAACTTCTGTCACTAAAATATATGGTCTCCTGATGTGGTTAACTTCAAGAGAGAAAACACACACACACACACACACACACACACACACACACACACACACCCACACACCCACACTTTCAATTTGAATATTATTATCTTTCCTTTGAAAGCCTTAAAAACAAGCAGAAACCTGTTGGGCGAGCTGACTTTCCATCATCTCTGCCATCAGTCATCTGTGGAGAGACTAGCCTAAACCGGTCTGGAGATGGATAGTATCTTGTGTGTGTGTGTGTGTGTAGAAAGTAAGAATGCAAATGAGGGTTCAAGCTTCTTCATTAGTAGGCCTCCACCCTGCTGAAGTGTCCTTGAGCAAAACACTGAAGTCCTGTTGGTTCAAGAGCTGCAGTTATTACTGAATGTGACCTTTGAGTGAACGGTGGCAAGTGAGAAAAAGAAAACCCTGTGGCTTTAATTGAAGTATCACATTGCAAAAGGAGCAATGCCTGCGGTTGCTTCTCAAAGAAAGATTCACCACATCTGACTGGAAAAGACTCTGACTCAGTTTCATGCTGATCTCGTTGACTAAAGATTATTTTAAAGGGGACCTAGTCTGCTCATTTTTAGATTTGTTCTTATATATTGTGTCTCTTCTGTGACATGTCTCCATGCTTTAAAGTTCATAAAGCTCTTTATTTTTCTCATACTGCCTGTGCTGCAGCACCTCTTTTCACCCTCTGTCTGAAACCAGAGCCCAGTCTGCTCTGATTGGTTAGCTGGCCGGCTCTGTTTTGATTGGCCAACTGCTTAGAGATATCCCGCTCCTTAGCCTATCATGTACAATACATACGCAAAAACCTATATAACACTACAGGAAAGGGAAAACCCCCAAAAGCACAATAGGGCCCCTTTAACATATAATAAAGTGATGCCATGTCCTGTTGTCTCCTTACTGATGTCACATCCTGTTTCCTGTCCAGGCTAAGGGCCACGCAGTGAGCCGGCTCCTGCAGAGCTTTGCAGCCGACGAGGGCTTCCGATTGGATGAGGAGAGTAGCTTCTCTGAGGGCGAGGAGGAGGAGGAGGAGGAGGAGGAAGAGGAAGAGGAAGAGGAAGAAGAAGGAGAAGAAGAAGAGGAGGAAGAGGAGGAAGAGGAGGAGGACATACAGTTGATCCACCTCCCTCCCAACATGCCTTGCAGAATACCCGGTAAGCATAAACACTGACACATCATACATAATTACACACTCACATGCAGGTTTGAAAAGGTTTTTCACACATTCGAACACACACACCTCCTCCTCTGCCTTTTTGTCCCCCCTTTTCCACTTCACATAGCAATTATTCAACACACTCACAAATGATGTATCACTCACGCTTTATCTTCTCCATCCATCAATCATTGAACCACGCCCTCGCTGCGCAGCGCTGCCAAACTGTGTGCTGAGTAAAGAGATGTTGGTGGACGGCCTGAAGATCCTCATCTCCAAGGAGGACGAGCTGCTGTACGCCGCCTGCGTCCAAACTCTGGACCTGCCCGACATGTAAGACCCTTTCCCTGCAGTGTGTCCACAGAAACACTCAGCTAAAACATTCATACTCCTTCACCAAATCAACCTTCCAAGGGGAACGAGCATAGTGACTATTTCACATAGCAAATAACCTGGTCTTCTAAAAAGTATGCTCCCAACCAAAGGGCATGGGATTACATTTGGATTGAGAGACATATTGCAAATCTCCTTAGGCAAAATAACTGCTGTATGTATTGAGCATGCAATCAAAAGTCAGCGTTAGATTATTTTTAAATGATGATTGTCATTTCATTTAAAGGGGCCTCTATTATGCTTGTTGGGGTTTTTCCCTTTCCTGTAGTCGTGTGTTATATAGGTTTTTGTGCATGTAAATGGTCTGAAAAGGACTCCTTTGTGTACTTCACATACGTGACACTCGTGCTTCTATTGGCTAGTGGCTATTGGCGGGACTTCTGGAAGGGGTTTACCAATAAGCACATAACATTAAGCACGTCAGGGTAAAGTAACAAGCGTTTGTAATTTTTCGCAAATCCGCAACAACAACCGTAGGACTGGAGTCATATATCCGGGTGGAAAATACATTTCAGTCGCATTGCAGTTTAATTATATGGTAAAGTATTTTTTATAGGAGCCAGGGTTGCTGATTCCAAAACGATAAGCATCAACATGTTGGATGATAACCACCTTAGCTTACCAATTTCATAGTTGGAACCCCTAAAGGTAAGCAATAAAATGCCAAAATGCAACAACAGCGTTCTCTGGTTTACAACTACGAAAACTAGCTCTGGTAGTCTTGACAAAAAAACAAGTCTTGACAACTATAAAGCCAAGATACACAGAAGTGGCAGCCAAAACAGCTGGTAGTGGAAAAAAGTGTCAACTCATGAGGAGTTTTTGTTTTGTATTAATTTACATTTTTTTTTTTCAGATTCAGTGTTGTCATCGAAGGAGAACGAGGGAATCGCCCGCGGATCTACTCGCTGGAGCAGCTACTACAGGAAGCTGTGAGTTTCAGTCTTCAGGCTCCAGCATCTGTCACCG